CACACACACACACACACGCACACACACGCACACGCATGCCTCACATCAGCACCTTTTATTTTACATAATGCTAATGTGAAAAGCATTTATTGCGCTGACTGTGTCAGCAGTAAATGCAGTGGAATGAATGTGTGTGTGTGTGTGTGTGTGTGTGTGTGTGTGTGTGTGTGTGTGTGTGTGTGTGTGTGCGCGTGCTCTGATGATGGATGACTCTCTTGTGGCCAAGACCAACCCTGAGGTCTGATAAATGGTCTCATTGCTGAGACTGTCATTTTCTGGATGGTATTCCAGTGTGCATCCTGATAATTTGGACTCGCATGAATCACTGATGAGGCATCGGGGTATAAACCAATACTCCTGACAGCAGAACGTCCACTCAGGGAATAATTACACAACCCTGTAGAGATTCACGCAAATGCTTGTGTCTATGGGTATTTTAGATGTACACCAAGAGAAGAAAAAAGGTCATTTTCTAAACCATTACACTTTGATGAGCTATAATGTGATGTATTTGGGTCATTTGTGTTACTGAGGATGTTCGATCCCATTGTGATCTTTGTGTCAAGAGTTTGGATCAACACCTTTGTTGAGCATATCTTTTAGGTTTTGGCAACTCTTTTCACCCTGAAAGAAAGTCACAGTGTTTGATTTGCACCATAGTTTAGGTGCTTGGTTTGTTTTACTGAGTCAGTTCTTGCTTTGCATTATAACCATCAGTCAGTTAATCTGTCAGTAAGGAGCAGACAATCACTATAGTACTTTTTGTATTATTTTTTTTGTCTCTTTTACTGCCTGTCCAGTATGTTTACCCAAAAAGCTGTTTTAATGTCTGGGAATTTATGTAGACAATCAGGGTTCAGTAAACATGAGGACTTTTTAATTTTTCACGTGAAACATTAATATTGCCCATTTGATGAAAGTCAGGGAATCGCTGCCTGTGTGCTCATTTGTCTGTCAGTTAGCAAATTATCTCATGAAACAACATAACATTTTAAGAAAATGTTCAGAAAGTAACAAGTGGTTTCAAATCTCCAACTAACATTTTGAGTTACCACAATTCATAATGGAGGCTARGGCTAATGGCTATAACTCAGTCATATTTATAGATATCAAGCTCAAATTCGGTGTAATAGTAGCTGAGAGTCATCCCTAATACATACTTTCAGAGCTAACAAATCAAGCAAAGTGGTTAAAACTATAGCATGCTACATGGTGGGAGACACACATTCTTTCAAGGAACACTAATTTTAATTTAACATGAAATAAAAAGACTTGGCATGCTCTAATATTTGTTCATGTAGGCTTTTAACAACTCAAGAACTCAGTCATACAAATATATAAATACAGTACTCAGCTCCAGAATTGATAATCATGAGATCACCAGATCCAGAGCTGAAAATAGTCACCACAAAGTGCACCATTTATTTCATTAAAGCTTGATAAAAACACATTGTGTTATTGTTTGAGGAAATTATGGAGCCTTTATAAAATAATTAAAATTAGCAATTTGGAGGAGTAGAAGGGCTGAAGGCTGCAAGACAGAGGGACATGTTGATGTGATTTTTTAAACGAGACTATTTCCTTTCTTTCTTCAAACAAGAATGCAATCACTTGCTTTAGTTAATAGATGCACCTTGATCAGTAATTACGTGTAAGAAAAGCTACATGGGAGCACAGCTGCACAAAATAGGTCTAATCTGTAGTACTGAATACTCTATTTCTAGAGGCAACCAGATAAAGCGCAGGAAAGAGGGATGTCAGGAATGGAAGTAAGGAAATAAGGAAGGAGCGAGGGACGAAAAGGACAGAGAGAACAGACTAACCTCTCTCCACCTCATTGGTAGCAGCTGCAACCGTAAAAAAAGATGACAGATGATAAAAAATAACACAGCAAGAAAGAAAAAGACACAGGACAGCAAAACATCCAAAGACAGAAAGGGAGAGAAAGAAAACACAGCCACAAAGATCAGCAGTCAGAGGTGGTTAGCACAGTGCAAAAAGCAGACAAACGAGTAGCAACAGACCAGTGTTAGTGACATAAAGTACCATCTGTCTCCACTGTGTTACTGTGAAAACAAAATGCACTTTATATGTGTTTGTATGGCTTAAAATAAAAGTTAAAAATGAACTGCAAGAACATTCATYATTAACTAGTTTTAAAAATAAAAGCTCAGTTCATTTCCCCCTTTAGACAATTAGAGACGAAAGTTGAAGCACAGTTACATTTTAATTTTTTTTTAGTTAAGATAGAATTCATTAGATCAGCTGGGACAGTTTCACGTTTCAGTGTTCAGAGTTCATACTGAAATAAATGAGATGAGAATATGTTATGGCAGAAAACATGCTGACATCCTGTTTGGGGCTCTTCCTCAGCTCTGTGTTTGTTACCTGTGTATTCTGGTGAACACATGCATGTGTAGTTATTGATCCCATCAACGCAGGTAGAGTTGTTCTCACAGTCATTGTCTTCACAGTCGTCAATGTTGATCTCACATGCATCACCTTCAAAGCCCTCTGGACACACACACCTAAAACATACACACACACACACACCTGTGAGTAAAAAACATTACTACACACAGAAAATACACAGGAAATATAATAATACTTTGTATTGTTTTTTTTACTGGTTAGGTTGATGATTTCATGAATGTCGAGAAATAATCCATGTGATGTTACACAAACAAACAAACAAACAAACAAACAAACAAACAAACAAACAAACAAACAAACAAACAAACAAACAAACAAACAAACAAACAAACAAANAAACAAACAAACAAACAAACAAACAAACAAACAAACAAACAAACAAACAAACAAACAAACAAACAAACAAACAAACAAACAAACAAACAAAACATTGTAGGGAAAAGCAAGGTAACCAAAACACAACCCTGAGGGACTCCACATTTCTACAGGTTTTTGTAAAAAGGTTTGATTGAAAGGTGAGGCATGAACCTTCTGGGAGCAGTACCTGAAATTACCACAGAATAACATGTCCTATGCTTCATAATGTTATATGATCAGCATTATCAAAGGCTAATAAATACCAGAACTGCAAACTTTCCAGAGTTTGCAAACATTGTTATGTAAAGTAAAATGATATTTTCAGGACAACACCTTTTAAAAACAATCAAAACTAACATTTATCCAATATGCTATTCTGATCTATAAAATTGAAAAGTTGTTTGGAATCTGCTTTTATCCAAAGTATGAGAAATGAACAGGTAGTTTGGGTTTGTAGTTAAGTCGCTTTAACTTGAAAAAACAAAAGAATGAAACTATGAAAAGATTCATGTAATGTTATTAGTTTTAATAATTACCTAATCACTTGACCAACAAGGCTTGTTATAGATTAATATTTGGGGAACATTTGGGTATAAAGTTGCATGTGCCTGCACAACACTGACACAGAAACACCATCCATACCCACTCCTAGAACAGTCATTATCTGCTAAAATATTCTAAGCTTACATGGATAAGCCTCAGCTCAGAAACTATTACTCAACCCCACAAACACAGACACAGTGCTATTATAAGTGGCCTAATGAAGAGCTCTTATGTTGTAAACACTCTTGAGGTTCAATGTCTTATTAAACAGTCAATGACAGCTCTTCACAATGCTTATTTTCCACTAAGCAAATACAATCCCATAAAGRGAGATAATATGAGAGGTAACAGAAAAGACAGAAATACACAGGAGATGCAAGATGAGTCAGAAAATCTGGGATTTTGGATCTGTCTAATTGTCTAATTGTTAACAGACAAACAGTAGGTTGCCTCGTTCTGGCAATAAACGTCTTAATGAAGTGATGACAATATTCTCACCAGGGTCAATGAGAATACAAACAAACCCTGAGCCACCTGGCTTCTTTTTAATACAATTAAATTTTTAATTGATTTGTCATTTTATGTGTAGTTTGTCATATTTGCTTGTGTTTGGCTATGTCTTTTATTTTTGTAGCATTATGTAAATTTTATTTTTTTAATGTAAAAATTGTTTTTAGCTCCATCCTTACCTCATTCTTTCCCATAATGCATCTTAATCCACACTTCACGTTTCCCAGAGCAGCATTTAAG